ATATAGGTGGGTAAACGTATAATGACATGATAATAATAATAATAATTTAATATAATATCGTCGCATTAACATAATATTATAATATATTACTAGACGAATGTTTATTAAAAATATAATATAATATTTATTACGGTGAGATAGATATACTGACTAAATATTATTCGGGTTCTACCACCGACAGACCGGCCGCCGCCCGACGGCTGACGGACGGGGTGAGACGATTTCCTCGAAGCACTAAAGCCTTAGGGGTAGTTTTCGGTGACGAGCGGAGGCCCCGCGATAGCGTGTTACGAGCGATTCGGACTACAACCCCTTTCGCGTGGTTCCGGTCGGTGGCGTGGCGAAGTGTTTAAATATAATTCGGAAAAATAACAATTTCTAGGAATAGCCATCCATCCACCCATCCACCCACCAACATCACTTATCCGCCGATCCCATCATCCGGGTACGTTTTAATAGAAAAATCGATTAGACTCGCTTAGCATTCGATTCCGATTTTTTTTTCTGCTTTTCGTTCTTAGTAGTACTATTAAATACAACAATAATACGATTAAAAGACTGTTTTTTGAACAAGAAAACTCAAGGAGATGAAGCGGTTTACCGGAACACCTCTTCGAAATCCGAGTGATATGTGAACAAAAAAAATCAAATTTATGTAAACCGATTTAGATAATGTATTTTAGAAAAAAAATTGAAAAATTAATTTCCAAAAAAAATAACTTAAACACACTATATAACTATTGTAGTTGAGGGGAACCGATCAATAATAACGAACAAAAAAAATTAAAAATATTACGGCTGTTGTGTGCACAGTTGTATCACTGTTGGCTATTGCAGAAAGTCAATCATAGTCCTATAGGTACGTGTACAGTTATGTGTTTGTTAATATATTATTATTATTATAATGATCAAGTACCTTTTACACATCTCACCAATTGTAAAAAAAAAAAAAAATACATTGGAACGTCCGCTCGTTACCGCGGTAACCGCGCTGCAGTGGTACGCATAATATAACATAATATTTAACCAATACACACGAATTAGGAGTAGAAAAATTTACGTATTATTATTGTTCAGATATTTCAACACTATTTTATATGGAAAAGTTTGCTAAACGATAATGGTATATTGTTAAGTCCGCAACAACCGTAATCTAATAATTAAATATAATAATATGTGGTAGGTACATACTGAAATCAGTTTGATAAATCATCGCATTTGGAAATATAAATCGTTGTTTAACCTATTTGTTTTTTAAAAAAGTGCAAATAATGATTGTTTATGGACAATCGCATAGTGAATGACGTCGCACAAAGCCTACAGAGAACGACGATCGGCAGTAGGGACTATAATGATTAAAAAAATAAAATAATAGGGAAACATATTGTTTTTATATTTAATGACATATTGTATTACGCGTGATTGTTTCAAACGTCCGATTAATTTCATCCGATCAATGTAATGAGTGTAATGAGCATGAAATAGTAAAATAAATAATTTCAAAATAAAATTGTTCGTTCCTTCGGGTATGGGACGTAAAATTAACTTTCTTGCTGTTCGATTGGAGCTCGGGCTTCAATGCTATAAAATTGTTTTAAAAAAAATGCTTTGAAAAATAACCAAACATTTGGTGTTTTTTTCCATTTTCTTGCCACAAATGTATTGCGCGTGTGTGTGGTTTTTCGTATTTTACTTAGTCGTTAATTGTGATTTCTTCAAGATTCAGGTACAGATAAATAAGATATAAATTAAGGTACTAAAAATATAAGTCGGGACAGCAAAAATATAAACTGTCTGTCCACTATTGCGTATGCATTATTATAATATTAGAGCCCAAATTTCAATACTCTAAAATCTACTAAAAAATCCTCTAAATAATACCTCTAAAGTGCCTTAAAAACGTCTTTTTAATGCAATAATACCCTTGAAAAATGACTTTTTTGTTATAGATATACAACTACGAAACTAATGAGAAATTATAGTTTGAATTTTGGTATTCTTACACTTTTCCATCTTAACTAAACGAACAATAGTTCAAAGAAAAATAGGTAACTTGGACACGTACAATAAATAAATAGTTTACTTAAAATATATACAGTCGTGACAAATCACTACAACTGACCAATTAGTTATAATTTGTTTGAGCCACACACACGTTTTTAAGACATCACATCCGATAATCGCTTGAGAAAGATACGGTACGGTTACGCATTCGTATTATAATATTATATAGAACGATTGACTTTTAGTGCGGACGAATAACACTTCTGAAGTAAAGTTTTGAATTTCCTAATTTACATTAAATACTCGTACAGTATAACACTAAAATTAAAAAAAAAAAAAAAAAATGAAATGACCAGAAAATGTTTAAAATAAAAGTATCACCTCTGTTGACGCACCTGTTACATGACACGAATATTCTATACTTGGAATGCATTTTTGTGGGTCCTGTCCTGCCGGAGCACCCATGAAATAATGCACTTTGCAGTGGAATCCTGGCCTCAGACATTGTAATACGACCGGTAGCAGTTAGTGACCCGCTTAGGAAATCGAGGATAAATAAAACGTTGCACATCACGCGAATCGATGTTGCGTAGTAAGTTCAGAGCGGTTACCGACAAAAACAACATCGCTTTAACCCCCGGGGGAACGCATAATATTTTGCCGGCCGGGCGGGAATACATTGTCATTATTGTCATGCAAAGTGCTCTCATTCCGTCGTCTCCTGCACTCGTATTACTCGGTATATTACCCTCCAGGTTAGGTTAGGTCTCGTTTGAAATTTACCATCGCATAATATTGGCTATTGCTGCAGGGTGTGAACCACTCGCCCGGACCGCAGGTTGTAGTAAGTTGACGTTTACTCTTCGTCGTCCGAAACGTTTTTTTTTTACACACCTCCCCCCCCCCATGTAATCTAATCGCCTGCTTTCCGAAAGGGTACTCAGGTGAACCGAGCTAATACCTCCACGCATACCGCATACGCCGAGACGTCAGCATTCTTAATCGAACCGAAAATGCGCCCCTGAATTCAATTAGTTTTCTTCACGACTTCATTTACCGCGTCACGGTTTGATTTTATGATGTTATTGAAAATAAGAATTTCGTGGCAATTACTAGGAGCACAAAAAATATAAAAATATCGGATTTTTCATAATGATTGTATTTATTATTGCTTATTTGTTATTGCATATTATTATTATTGTTTGCCAATATTACTAAATAAAAAATAAATTGAAAAATACTCATTTAATGTTCTTGAAATTAAAATTATATATATGTACATATTTTTTTTTATTTCTTCACAAAGTATAAGCGTCATTTGTATTTTTAAGGTTTTGAATAAAAATAAACATTCACCGTCAATTTTTTGAGCTTTTAAATTTACTTAAGATATTTTTAGGTTTTAAAATTTGGATCACCCTGTCACGAAAACTTATTTGTAATGAACAAATCTGTTGGTATCGAGCGATTTCGTTGTAAGAAGATTTTTCTGTATATGTTTATAAATTAACTATTATACAAATAATCTGAATGGTGAGTTTCCTGTTGCCTATTTTTATTGCACACATTAAATATTTTACTATAATTAACGTCAAGCAACTCCAAAGTTCATAAGGTTAAGTTAGGCACTTTAGGTGGGTCAAGTTTAAAAATAAGGTATTGAACTGAAACTTGAACTAAACGTTTTAATTGTATTTGCATACAATTTTGCACAGAACAATTCAGTGAGAAAATTGAATGTAATGTTTTTCACAAGTTGTTTTAATATCAGTTCAAAAATGTTAAGGATTTTATATGCATTTAAAGTACGAATTTCGACAAAATTCATTTTGAGAAGCCGCAAATAAGTTTTCAGATAGAAATTCATAAACATTAATCTTTGTATAGCTAACATTAGACATTTTAATAGAAGATTCACCATAAAACGTTCTTCTGCCTATAACAAAAAAAATGTTTACCACAAAGCAAAGCTATTAAAAGCCAAGAGATATTTTCATTGATTTTTTGGTTATTGAATTTGAATATTTATACAAATTTACACAACTTCTCTACTTAGAACTTTTTTTCATATACAATGACTTATAATTGAATTCAAATCCAACACATCCATTATAATGAAATTCTTAACAACTACTGTACAGCCGATCTGTACCCACTTGTCCACTTATTTTAGTTTTAATTTGTCAAAATAGCTATCAAGTATAAAACACGGGTGTATTTTTCGTAAAAAAAAAAAATACACATCTGGCAAAATAAAAATTTAAACGTAAGCACCGGAAACATTTTATGCTTGAAACGTTTGATGCGATTGAATTTCGTATTTTTGATTTCGGATTAATTCTAAAATTTCCATCCTAACTTTTTGTTCAAGTACGATTTTTTTTGTTAAATTAAATTTGACTTTTGAAATTAATTCAAACACCTCAGTAAGTTTGGTTTGATTTTTTGAACTTCAAAAAGTTTGGTCTACCTCTATTTTGCACATTCGTACGGCACAGTTTAAGTATTATTGTTTTTTTTTTTGCTTATTGCTTCAATATTACAGATTGTACTGAACTATTGTCACAGGCTCACGTATAACGACCCACTCATTTATCAGTGCTGTGTCACACTCACAATATATGCTTAGGTCAGTTAATTTAGAAATGATCATAAGGTTAAAAACTGTAAACTTTATGGTCGAATTGATTTAAAGAATATAACTATAATTACGTATACTCAAAATTGTTATGTCTTATGAAATAAGAGTATTATGAAATCGTGCACATAACAACCTTGTGTTATTCTACCAAATATGGTTTTAAAATTCTAAAAACAAATCGAACCTGTTAAAAGAAAATATTATTAATAATATATTCCTTTATTTACGTATTTACTAAAAGACATGTATAAGGTGAAATCCTTAATAACTTACAAAGTACAATTTTGACAAAACAGTAACAAGTGTGTCATCCAATTGGCACGTAAAACTAAAAAAATTGTATGGTTATACTCACTTGCTGTTTAGTGATGTAGATTGGTTTGTTAAGTATTAACCAGGTAACGGTTTCGTGACACGCGGGAACCGTGGTAGAGCCGTCATACGTCATGTAGTAATGGGTGGCTGGTAACAGATCGGCGACTGACAATCGTTTAACAGGAACTTCATCGCCTAAGTACAGAAACAATAATAATACTTACAAGCATTGTGGTTAAGTTCCCCGATTAGTGTTATCACTTGTTACTTATTACTATACTATAGGGTTGGTATCAGTGGGTGTTTTAAGTTTTATTTTTTTAATGTACATTGCTGCAGAATACAAGTATGATTTCAAATTTGTGTAGCAATTTGTAATATTTAGCCCTAACGTATAATGTATATTTAAATAGCTAATATGAGCTAACTTTGTTGCTCATATGCATGAATAATGTTATCTACAAATAAAAGGTAAACAATATGATTTGTAATTTAAATATTTTACTCATAAAACAAACCTAATCTAACCCCTTCATCGATACCCACCGTTAAAAACATGCCGAAATGGATTTTCTTTTCAATTTCTGTACTCCTCTCCTCAAACCACTGAAAATAAATCCTGATTTCGCTACCGATTGATATTTTTTCTTTGGATAATTTTCCAGTGGATATTTTGACTGATTACCTATATATTACGCACGATTATCGCAGTATTCCTATATCCTGAAACTTCTATACACAATAGTCGAATGCGCGGAAATGTACTTCTAAGTATATTCGAACCACCACATAAAATTCATAAGGCGGACCCGAGGAAAAAATGATATTTTTTCACTGAAAGTTGTATTAATGTAGGCTGAGTTTGTATTATTTTTAATTTTGTTATTTTTATCATCCACAACAATATAGCTTGTGATAGATAAGAGGCGAAAACATCGATCTCTATCAATATCAAACAGCTGGGTTTTATCGTAATTTGTATAGCTATCGCCTATCAGACCTACGCTCTGATCACTGAACGTGTGATGTTGATTTTTCTTTGAGATTGTAAAAATCTAATATTTATTTCTGTCTATTACATTATTAATGACGACGACAGTAAATATGATCTACGTAAATTTGTTATTTTGCTTACCACTATATTTGATCATGTCCAAATGATCGGTGAGTATCCGTAATTCTGGATTAGACAAATCTCCAAGCTGTAAAAAAAAAAAACAAAACAAAAATAGTTGATGTGTGTTCTTGGTTCATAACCGTAAAAACTTATTAAAATATTTATTTCGTTTAATTTTTTCTCACGAACGATGTACGCAATTCGCATGCAACTATAATAATAGTATAAAATTATGCTGAAAAAATGTTGAATTCCACACGATGTTCAGTAATTCGAAACACGTGACACAAGATTTGGTGACCAATTCACGAGCTGCGTGCTGCGTATCAGAGAACACACTTTTGAAGGTTATTTTCTAACAGACGATGTTATACACCATCGAACGAGTCGATTGACGGCGATCAAGTGCTTCCAATAATTTATTAAAACCATGCGTTGATGTGCATTAATATTATGAAAGTATATTGACATGACATCAATTGAAAGTAGCCACGTAGATGCGACTCGTGAAAACGCGCGGTAGTCACCGCGTACGACAAGAATGTCCTTTTTGACGTAGGTATACCTCTACGTGGTATAACTGTACACCATCAGGTGATGTGAACAAAATGTGTCCGAATCGCATGAAATAATGATTGTTTGTACTGTTAAATGGCTCGGACTCGAGTCGAACGCGATACAAACGTTTATAAATATTATATTATTCTTTTGTAGCAGCATTTTCACTTCCGCGCTGTAACTCGATACCAATTCGTGATAATTGAACGCATTAAAGCGAGATCCCGCCCACCCCACCACCCCCACCGACCGATACGTATAACGTGTCGTGATGGATAATAATAATAATAATAATAATAATAAAATGTTTTGTGTTAACGTCACGTGGACATCGGATTAACGACCTACCACTTAAAAATAACGAATACGCGAAGTTGAAGTGCACGCATTCATTTAAGCATGACTATCATATACGCGTAGGTATATGTTACACAACATAATAATATTATTGTGTTATTATAGATAATAAATTATTATTTGTTGGTAAATATTACATTATATTGTGGATATCGATTTCGCGTCAGTATATAATAATATTGTACAAACATATTATTTCGAAAGTCGATGGTTACAATAATAATATATATTATTATACTATGGGTGTACTCTTTTTCCGATATTATAGTATTATAATGATCAATAAACAGCTGTACACCGCAGCAGTAATGGAACGCATTATTTTTTTTTTTTCAACGACTAGTTTAAGAGTTTCGTTTGCGACGGCTTTGGGTTTTGACGCCCTGCTCGTTATTTTCTAGTGCGTTATTTTGAGCCCAAGAATAACACACAAACCGTCTTCCGAAAAACACAACTCATGAACGACTATTTCGCGTGCTAAATAAGTGACGAATTAAATATCGCACTGGAAATAGTCCATGAATACCGGGTACTATTTTGAAATTGACTATTTTACTGGTTTGAAAAATACTAAGCTCAGTATTAGGGATCAAAATTCCGGAAAAAAATTAGGAAAAAAACAGTTTTTTTCCCAAAGCTTCGAAAAATATTTTTAAAAAAAGAATACTAAAATAATACATTTCCAAAAAAATCAAAGTTTTCTGAAAATTAAAAAAAAAAGAATTTTGTATAAAAAACTCAGTTAAAAAATAGATGAAGAAACCTGTTATTTTCATTTCACATTTGTCAATACGGCGTAAGTATCGTCGTGTAATTAGTTGTTGATACGAATATTTAAATATTTGTTTTAAAAATAACATTACCTATCAAATATTTATGTGGTAGAGTGTATTTCCAAGAAACCTTTTATGTATTATGGTTATCATAAATCATTATTTATTGGTTGGTTTCCACTTTACATTACCTTTTCAATTATTTAGGAAAACGACATTCTTTTTCGAAAAACCATTTTTTAATAGAATTTTCCAATTCGTCCTTGTTACAATTGCTTTTTTTTCGCCGAAACCCTTCTTTTTGGGGAGGGGGGAATTTTAGATAACTACTCATTATATTTGAACAGGATTATTAACCAAGCATAATGCTTAATATTCATCATATTATTTTAATAACTAATTTATTCAAATTCTGTTTGTTGTATTTTTCAATAACTTCAATGACCATATTTTCACATTATCGAGATTTACTGACTAGGTTCTTAGAATTTGTCTTGATCGCTATACAAACTTCTGTTTTTCAAACGAAAATCGTACTTTTTAGTGTAAATTATTTGATGGATATTTTTATTTTGAAAATTGTTATGTAGGTATACATTGGTATAGGTACATCGGTATACCTACTAGTTTAAAATTCAAACGCACAATTTTTTACTCATTAAAATGGTCTTACAAAAATATGAAATAGTTGTAATAGTTGTCGGATCTAGTGTTTCTTACGAGTTAAAATTAGTCCTTATCTAGCTGCTCTAACATGTCTGATAAACAAAATCCCAATCCTTAATTAAATCAAAACAATCATCTAATATCTTCCGACCATTCATATCATATCTATTAGAATATTATTGTAATCACATTACTTCGGGATATCTAAAATTACCAGGTGTCAATTATCCATAGAACTTAAAAATATTTTTAATTATCACTTTAATCTATGAAAACTAATATGTAAATTGTCAAACATCACTATATTATATAGATAGTCTTAGGCTAGGAATGTTTTATGTTTAAAATTAATATTAAAAAAAAAGTGTTTATTATATTTGGTAATAATATAACACTACACATTTTGAATATTAATAGAATAATATAAATTACTAAAATGTTAAACATCTCCATATCTACCATTTTACACCTTTCATGATTACCTTCTCATTATCATTAACTTATTATCCTTAGTACTTGTACGAAGTTAAACAACTCAAGACTTCTAATGATTCCTTGCTGAAGTTACATTTGACGCAGTTTGTTATTTTAACAGTTCGAAAATACATACTTTTGTACACAATATCAAATCAATAATATTGTATAGAGACACTGATATGAAATCATAAACGATCATATATTAATGTGCTATGACTGCTATATACATGCGATACGCCATAGACGTAATTGAAACGTTTCCTTTTTGCTGTTCATCATAGTTGATAAGAATTGATCTGTAATATTTCAAACACTCCAAACAAAAATAATATATATATACATCAATCGTTTGTGAAATGTGACACGTAACATGAATACATTAGCTGGAATAAACATCGGGATCACGAACTTGTAATTGAATCAAAACAAAAAAATGTCAAATTGTGTTGTGTACTACGTTTGCGGTAAGCTGTTTCTCTGGAGAAAAAACGAAGTCATTTTAGAAATAATACTGTAATTAAAACGTGCCGTCGATACGAACGTACTTACAAAAATATCGCATACAATCGTGTACTACGACACCACTGCGCAATAAAAAAATTTGACACTATTTAATGCGTGAACTAATCAGGCAAATATCGAATGAAAATCTATAATATTATGCCGCACGGTTTGTTCGGATAAAAAGTGGTATTCATAAAGTTTATGGGACAACAATTGACATTAAATTTAATTGAAATTAATTGATACTCTAGCACCCGGTAAATGTCATAAGATCCTTCTGAACAATAAAGTGGATGGTCACTATTGTATCTAAATATCTGATACATAAACACAATTTATTAAACCATTGTATTTACAAAATATAATTAAGGAAGATAATGGAATAAATATGACACAGAGACAGACTAAATTTGTAAGCTGATATACCAAAAAAAAAAGTAGAATTCCCGTGTAGTAGTACCTATGTAATTTTAAAGCCAAATTTAAATATAGATTAAACTTGACACACAAATTTGAATATACTATTTTCACTAAAAATGAGTTTTTTTAAAACAAAAAAAAACTTATGAAAATATGTCTTCTTTTTCAAGTTTTAGTGATCATTAAATCCAAAATCAAATTTTATTTATGTTATTATTTATAAGTAAAATACTTATATTTTTAAATTTTTTTTAGCCCTCCATTTCAAAAAAATCTATAAAATGCATTAAAAATGAATTATATCAAAGTTTTTGCAAAACGTAATTTTACTTAAAGGAGGATGATCCTCGTTTTAGTAAACAATAAACATACATGTTATTTCGAAAGTATCAACTATTTTTCAAAGAATCTAAATTCGATATAATCGTATAGAAACATTTAATGTCTAGGAATTTGGCACCCAGAAGAATATTGGTCAACTGCTCTAATTATCTAGATTTTAAATACTTTATTAATTTACTACTCAGTCGAAATTCAAAGTTTATAAATCAAAATTTTTTTGACGAGGCAGTTCGAAATGTATTTTGTAATTTAAAAAATTAAACTTTTGACAAATTATGTACAAAAATATTCTTAAAACCGTCAAGACTTTTTAGTCGTCTGCTAGTATTTACCGTTAATATAGATCTACTCAGTATAAATAACTAGCTATTTTCGTTAGTACAAATATGCACGAGCATAACATCATGTATAGGGTTTCGGGCCAGGAACGTAAAATAATATTATCCATCCTCGCGCAGGTCACCAACATTTACTTCGTCTCGCGTTCCTTTCACGCACCGACCGAGGTGAGCGAATAGTGTGGATATTTCATGTAGAGCAACGATCAAAAGAAGTGGATGGGTTTTTCGTGCAAAAAAACAGTGAGTTTTAGTAGGTATGCGGTGGTGTGTGTAAGTTTTTGTATTTTTGTGAGAGTGTGCTTAAAATACAAATAAAATGATAACAATAAGGTTTGGGAGCTGAACTGCTACATAATGATATAGTTCATTTGTTTATAACACACAATACGGTATCGAAATTCAAAATATAATAAAAAACATAAATAAAAAAATAAGGGAATCTTCCTTTATAAACTTTTCAATCGAGGCGAATTGATTTTTTTCGGGTATGACGGTATTGATCAATTAAGATCATGTCTAAATATAAAAAAATAATAACTCAAAATTACATTTTTCATTTCTTATAAGAGCAATAAATGTATGTTAAATATTTTGTATTTTATACTTGTTATTGTACTTACCTACTCAAGTGTTATTACTTGTAAATG